AGCTGGCATCCAGTTCAAGAAGTAGAACATTTCCATCGCCCAGAAGCTCCCTTCCAATCACCACTCCTGTAAGGGTGACCACTATTCTGACCGAAACATCGTAGGTTTGTTTGCCTGAATGAACCGGATCGTAAGCGATAATATCAGAGAAAGCCAAATTAACAGCCCAACAGTCACCAAAATTACTGGCCACAGTCCCAGTGCATGCAGACAACGTGGGGCTTTTCAAGACACAGACAAAGGAGACACAGACACAGGGCTTCTTATTTTATGCAAGGGACGTGTTCCTGAATATCTCATGTAATGTAAACTCTCCTAACTGAGGTCTAGTTTTCTCACTGAAATAACTGTAACGTAGGATTCCCGTGACTTCACATTTGGTCCTAAAGCGAGACTTATTCACGTCTTTAACATTGCCCAATTTCTAATTTAGCATAATTCCAATCCAGACACTCCTCTGAACACAGCACTCCCTGAACTCTCCCTGGGGCTGTGAGGGACCACTTTTAGCATTTCTGGGACCCCGGGGCCCAGCTATGGTGACGGGACAGGACCCTGGCTCTGGGGGCAGCACACAGGTCCTGGAGTCCAGCTGCCTACATCCCAGCCCTCCCTCTGCTGTTCCTTGCAGTGTGACCCTGGGTAAGTTCTTACCATTGAGGGTCTCGGTTTCCTCATCTGCGAATTGAATAGGGATGTGCTGGCGGGGGGGGGGGGGGGGGGGGGGGGGCTAATGAGAGGAGGTAATGAAGGAAAAGCACACAGGAATCACTGGAGGTTTGTTGGCACCAATCCCGGCTGAGTGGGAAAAGCCTGTTCTGCCTCTCCCCGCACCGCCCCCTACGCAGCTGGGAGGACTTTACTCCCCGCGGAGAGCAAAGCCATTCAGCCCCAGGCTGGGGAGTCTGGCGGCTGAGCCCCAGTGAAGCCGGGCCCAGGCTCAGATGCCAGGGTCACAGGCCTGGATTGGGCAAGAGCAGAGATCGGCCCCTCTGATCCCGGTCAGGGATATTTGGAGACACCACCAATTCTGGGAAATTCAGAGGCAGGAAGTGAAAGGGGGGAGGGGCAGAGGGGAAACGGCAAACTGCACCCTGGCCCCTCCTGGCCTGGCCCCCTCCCAAACGGTGCCATGAGTGAGGTGACTGCATACAAGGAATGGGGACAGACCGGGGAGACTCCCCACCCCTGGGAAGAAAAGAAGGGGCAACCCATCCCCCACTCCCAGCCCCACACCCACAGTGTTCCAAATCCAGTTCTACCTCTGTTTACGTCCAAAGTCCCGGGCACTGGAGATGCCAGGTTTGGTGTGTTTGGACACATAGACACGCAGACGTACAGACAGGCAGACGCACAGGGCTCAGGGCCCTCATATGGACCCTGCCCCCTCCTCTCCCACCATCCAGGGCTGTCTGCGCACCCTAATCCTCCAGGCTTCAGCTCGTTTCTTAGCCTGGGATCTGTGCAGCATCGAGGGACCCAGGAGTCGACCTTGAGACCTTCAGCAAGTAAAAGGGGAAGAACGGCTGTGGGGGGGTACTAACTGGGAGGTGGGGTGGGGGAGGGGAGGGAGGGGACCCATGTCAGGAGGGCTGGGGATGGAGTGGGAAAACTGTAGAAGGTAGATTTTGGATGTCAGGCCTGGGAGGGAATGGGAGCAAGAAGAAAGGTCTCCTGCTGATCACCTAGAAAGGTACTGGACCACACACCCCAACTCTGTTCAGCCATAGCCTCAGCCCTAACCCCAGCCCTGACCTGGTCCCAGGTCCAGCCAGCCCTACCATGACAAAGGAGTATCAAGATCTTCAGCATCTGGACAACGAGGAGAATGACCATCAGCACAGAAAAAGTGAGGGGAGGCCGCCCCCCATTTCTGAAAGGCGAGCATTAGGTGGCTCTCGCTCTCTCCACTCAGCTCCTGCTTTTTTCTGTAACCCCGACTCTCCCTGGGTCTGCCCCACTCACAGGGACAGAGCGTCTGAGCCGCCCCTCTTAGGGGAGGTGCAGGGTGTAGGGCTGGATTTCCTTTCTTGGTGACAGCTGCCCCCAGGCTTCTGCATGACCCTCCTGTCCCTCACCTTGTCACCGACTTCTCAGGACCCTGGGGACGGGGGCGCCCAGGGCCGTGGGACTAACTGCAAGGAGTTAGGCCTCCTTCTTTCCTCTTTCAACACCCTGTGAGCCTTGGCCAACTGTGTGAGTGTGTGTGAGCGTGTGAGTGTGTGTGAGTGCATGGGTGTCAGGGATCAGTTTGGTCAAGGGGAAGATTTCTGGGACGGCTCTGAGGGATCTCTGATTAGGGGAGGATGAGGCTCTCTTACATCAAAAAGCAAGCGCCGGGCTTCCCTGGTGGTGCAGTGGTCGAGAGTCCGCCTGCCGATGCAGGGGACACGGGTTCGTGCCCCGGTCCGGGAAGATCCCACATGCCGCGGAGCGGCTGGGCCCGTGAGCCATGGCCGCTGAGCCTGCGCGTCCTGAGCCTGTGCTCCGCAACGGGAGAGGCCACAACAGTGAGAGGCCCGCGTAACGCAAAAAAAAAAAACAAAACAAAAAAAACAAGCCCCCTTTCTTTCTCCTGCGAGCAGGGATGTTGCTTCGGCTGAGCCAGGATGAAGTTCTTGGTGGATGGGAGTGGGCAGCGACCTTCGATGGGGGCAGGGACTGCCAGCAAGAATGGAGGGGAAGCCCCCATATTCCAGCTCACTGGGACAGGGCTCCCGGGTGGGAGCAACTTGAGGGACCTGAAGTCTGGCTACTCTGCCTCTTTCCC